TGCCCTGCAGGCCTTGCACATGGTCCCATCAACTCCACTGACCGAGGCCCCTTGCTGCCACCCACCCCGAGTCACCGAATCCTGTTGCTTTGCCCTTCCCCCAGCCCCTTACCTCCCCTCCACTCCAGCCCTGCCCACCCACCCACCTTTTCCCTCGCACACTTCCAGAGTGCAGACCCCAGCCCCCTTACCAGCCACCGGCACCTCCCACAGCTCTGCACATGCTGCTCCTTTAGAGCTATTTGCATGACATTTGAAATCACCTAGTGACCACAGGCCTGTTACTAACCCTGCCTCAGTTTCCCCATCCACAAATGGGGATAAGCAGGGTGCCCATCACATGGCTGCTCAAATTACTTGATGAGATACTATATGCAAAACACTGACAACTGTGTCTGGCCCAGAGTAAGGGCTAAAAACTTTTGTAATGATTTGAAAGCCGCTGTCCCTGCAGGGAAGGCAGTTAATTCCGAGGGCAGGACCCAGTGTAGTAACCTGAGTGCTGAACTCTGCCTGGTACACAGTGGGTGCTCACTATGTTTGCTGCCTGGCCCGGCAGCGAGTGGCCCAACCCCAGTTCCCATCTGCTGGGTGGGGGTGGGGGGTGGCTGTAATGTCACTCCCTCCCTCTTCCCCAGGCTCCTGCTGTCAGGGTGCTTCTGGGTCTCTGGGGAACCAAGCATAGCCATCTGCCGGGCTAGGGAGGACACCCCGCCTTCCCGCCTTGCTTGCTCTGAACGGGTGTGAACCAACTGGCCTCACCTCCCTCACCACTAGCCCCAGAGCTTGGAGGGAGGTGAGAAAGGAGAGACTGGGCCAGAACAGGCAAAGAACCACCTGCCCTGGGCCTAGATCGCCCCCTTCTGGCACCTCAACCCTTACTTCATCCCAGAGGACTTGAGGGGACAGGGCCCCCCTCAAAACAGGGTAGAGAATGATTCTCAGGTTGGAGGAAGCCCCCCTTTCCTGTCGCCAGAATGGGCCTCTCTCCCACCCTCCCACCAACTGGGTCTAATTAAAGGGTGAGAAAAATGCAAATTTGGGATTTGCAGAGAACACCAGCACTGAGGCACTGAGACATGGAATTCAGACTGGTGGGCAGAGCTGGGGGCTCTGATGCTAGAGGCCCCCATAATTTCCTGCTGCTTGGGGTGCTGGAAGGTCTTGAGAATCAAGAGTCCAGGGACATCCCCCAGAAAAACTCCAGTCCACAGCCCTCCAGCTAGTAAGGGGACTCTGGCAGGGTAGAGCAGTCAGGTGGAAGCATTTCCCATGAGCCTCCTCACCCAAGGGCAGGGACCTTTCCCCCTAGCAAAACTCCAGTCTCAAGGTAACACCTTCCCCAGATGCAGGATGGGGTGTGTGTGCTCAAGTGCCACAGCCAGCCACCTGTCTCATAGGTCCTAAGTGGCCCACCTGGCATCTCAGGGCCCCCTATATACAGTGGGTCAGCAATGCTGGCTCTCAAATGGACATGGGCCTCGAGTTCCCTCTGATGGCCACCACCCTGGGGGGCACCAGCGACCACCAACCCTGAGGCACAGGATATAGCCCCAGAGTCGTGCTGGCCCCAAGCACAGGGCTACCATCTCTGTTTCGGTCAGATACAGTCACCACCTGTCTCCAGAATCCTTGGGGTGTCAGAGGCGGGCAGCTTGGTGGTTAAGGCACCCCACCCCAACCACCCTGACCCTGGGAGACAGGTAGTCCAGCCAGTAGCTCCACCTTGAGAGCATGTCAGCGCCACGGGATAATGGAGAACCAGCTTCCAGGAGTGAGCTGGTGTTGGGGGCCCAGGGTATCAACCTCCATTCTCACCCGGAAGTCGATGCCCACAGTGGAGATAAAGGTCCCCGCCAGGAAAGCCCCATCCTTGAAACGCACGAGGAGGCAGGTCTTTCCCACGCCTGAGTCCCCCACCAGCATGACCTGGGGTGAGCAGGAGGAGCAGAGGTGTCAGGGGCAGAGGGAACCAGGGTGCGGGCCTACCCAGAGGGATGTTTGAACTTCCCTGAGCTGGCCTGGTCAGAGAGGGGCAGGAGTGGAGGGAGGTGGTCCCAGCCGTCCTGCACCTCCAGCTTCCACCTCTACAAGGTTCTGCCCATCTCAAACCGTGGAGAGTAGGGTCAGCTTTCTCCATCCAGGGCCTTACCTAACCCCACCCCCCAGGCCCTGGACACCATGCTTGATCTGGAAGGGGAGCATCTGGGGCTTGGTGGGGAGCACAGCCTGGGGGTTGGCAGCTAGGAACCTCGTAGGAGGTCTGTGGGGGCCTCTGTACCAGGGGGCTTCTTCCAATCCCAGCCAGACTCAGGAAGAATTTGCCAAATGAGGGTCAGATCTTGGCATGAGGAGAGGCCCAAGCCAGGTCTGTGGGCAGGGAGGGGCAGTCAGGCCTTCCCCTCTCCCACCCCTCCCCCAGCCTGCCTCCAAAGGATCCCAAACCTAAACAAGGTCCCTCCACCCCCCCACAATTCACAAGCTTCTGCCTTGGCCTGGAGGAGGCCCCACTGCTCCCCGCCCAACTAGCAAACCTCTTCTTAGTCTCCCTGCCCCCTAAAAATTAGGAGATGCACAGACCCTGGGGTGAGGGAAGGCAGCATATGGGAAATGAGACTGGGGCCCCAGCGGGGTCGGAGGCATTAGGGAGAGGGGAGTGGGCACCTGGCTCTGACTTCTGCCGGACCCCTTGTCTGGTCCGGCCAGCTGGAGGTGGGGTAGGGGTTATTTATACCTTGCCAGCTGTTGGGTATCCCAAACCCAGGTCTGACAGCTGTGTGTGTGCATACGATGCACCGTCTCAGCTGTACCAGCTGCGGAGTACCGCTCCAACCAGCTCCATGCCAGGGCTCCGCAGGGCCCTGCACCCCCCGCCTCGGATCCTCTCCCCAATCGGCTCCTGCCGGACGCCACCTGCTGCGCTCGCATGGGGTGGGGGTGCCCCGCTCACCTTGAAGGCGACGTCGTAGAAGTCGCTGCCGCCGCCAAGCGAGGGCCGGGCGGGCTGCGGGAGCCCGTTGAGTGGCGCCTGGAGGCCAAGGCGCGCAGTCCCGGGGCGCGCGGGCCGGGGCCCGCTGGACGCGGGAAGGGCTGAGGCAGCGGGCGCGCTGGCCCCCTTGCTCTTGGGGGTCTTCTTCCTGGACATGGCGGGCAGGCGTTCAGTGTGCTCCCGCTGCAGCCGCCGCGTCTGGGGCTGCCCTTCTCTCCGCGCTCGCGGAGCCGGACCGGGACCCGAACCTGTCCCGTGGCTGCGGCAGCGGCGGCGGCGGCGGCGGCAGCGACATCCCGGGCTCCCGGCTCCCCACC